TTTTTTTTTTTTTTTTTTGACGGAGTGGGGAGAAGAAAAATCTCTATAGACACCCCAGCTGATGTGTCGCATTTACCCGGTGTACCTACCGACAAAGAACTTACCTCCCTGCATGGGATAGGTCTATAAGGACCACTCCCCTAAAAGACAAAAGGGCATAAGAGGAGAAAGAAGAAGGAAAGTAATGGAGAATTACGCATTTAGGTAAAGCTCGATTTCTCATTTTCTACTCTATTACATTACTTAAAATTTTTTCAAAGTACTGATTGTTTAACAACTTTTTAAAGCGATTCTTGTACAAACTCAGTACTATATTTTTTTATTACATGATAACTTAATAATAATTTAATACGTTGATCAGTAATACGAGTTCCAATGATTACAGAAGATTAATGTGACTCTAAGTACTAAGATATAGACTTCGTGTGTATTACTCATAAGTATTGTAAGTCTGCTATGCTTGTTTTGTGATACATTTTCATTTCTGGTCACTGTTTTAACGTTTGATTCTGAAACAAAATTATGTTTTTGCGTTACTTAAGTTAACTGGAAATTTATTATAAGTAGAAAAGTTATTATAGTGTATATAAAAAAAGATTATTAGTAATACGTGAAAAACAGCCTTCAAAAATTTGAACTAAGAAACAGTCTTATTTCTATTACGATTTCAGTACACAATGTGATTTTGAAATTTTTATGTTTTTATAGATTGTAAAAATGTACGCATACATTACGTAAGATGTACAATTTACGCTAAGTTCCTAAGTATTAACGAAAAGAAAAGCTTTAATAATTGTTAATGTTTACGTTTTTCATGCGTGCAATATTATTATGCATACAATAACAAATTTTGCATTAAATTTGATTAATTTACGATATTCATTTTCCTTTTCATGTACTACAGATTTACTGTAATATATTGCTATTCTGATAGTAATATTATCACTAGGAATGTAAATTTATTTTTTCGAGCTTTTACTATAACCTTAGTAAACATTCTAATTTTACTGTAAGTTTTGTAATGTACGAGTCGTAAATTTACATTACCAATAGGTATAATACTACTACTGTAGTAAATGTACTACTTCTAATCCTAGTGACTCTGTCCGTCTTAAGATTACTACTCGCACAGTAAATTTCATCTTTTAATAGCCTTTTTAATATTTTAATTGTATATTTACTACATTGAATATAGGTTACATTATTTCCAACATTAGAAGTAGTAATTTTACGAATAATTTTTTCTGTGTACCAGATTTCATCCCAAGGCGAACATTCTCGGTCAACTTAAGAAAAACAGAGTATGTACTGGGACCCCTCCAGAAACCTGACTGCATAGGCGAGAGCAGTTTTCGACTCTCCAGATAAGCCACTACCTGTCGCTACATAAGGATGTCCTGGACCTTTGCGAAATGAGCCATATTTGCGATCGGACGCGCATCAGAACGGCTAACAGGCTGCGCTATCTTGGAAAGCGGGGCGATTGTGGACTATCGCTATAGCACTGGATACCTGCAGGACGCAAACGAACGATTGATAAGTCCAGTCAGGAATGGCACAATTACCGTAAGAGGGCCACGCAAATACGACAGGGACAACTCATCAAAGCTTTCACCCCATAAACGGATCATGCAATGCGCAATCGCTTGGGACGCCTCCATACACGACACTAGAGCCAAGGTGAAATCATTATTCTGGGCACCTGCATTTCTCAGGATACTCTCCAGCTCCCACACAGTGACCTGTAGATGTGTGACCGTGTAGATGAACGCACGACATCGCTGAGAAATGCCTGGCCAGTGCCACGGGTGAGATTAAGTGCAATGGTGACCGCAGCGAGCCTCTAACTATTCTAAACCTACGGAGAATGCTCCAGCGCTGAGACGCCTTACGTGCACCCCCCAAAGCATTGCGCAGGTACGCGTCTCTCGCTTCTCTTCTGTCGCGCTTAAGAGCCGACCTCAAGCTCCAGTACTGCAGAAGACGGTCAGAATCACCCATTCACCGAGCAACCCCACACAACTTATCACGCACCCTACAACGATCACACAGTTTGGCAGTGAACCATGGCACAGACCTACGATGAGTATCCAAAGATGAACTCCACAAGGACTCTGAAAATGAGAGTCCAGCTACCCACAGCCAGCTCTCCATCATCAAGATTAATAAGAAATAGCTAGAAGTATTGCCACTTGCCCTTTTCAGGGCCATCATAAGTACTTACGCTCCATACTTAACCATCAATCTCATCAGTTTTTCTTAGAGCTACCTAACGTTAAACTACCTTGACAACCAATACATTTTTACTACCATTTTCGGCAACAATTCGTAGACTAAAAGACTATATAAAGCCGGCCACTATTAAAACAAGTCAGTCATTCACTGGCAGACGTTACGAGTAGAGATGTTCATCACAAGGCTGGGAACCCCGGTGACCGACGACCCTCCATTACTCTCTCAACTTTAAGCGGTACACGTGGTTAGGCAAAGTAAAAAGGGACGAGGAAAAAAGGGGTTATTGTTAGTGTAAGAAAACGTTGATTAAAAGAGGGCAATAAATTAATTGAAAAAATTAGCGATGACATTATCACAATGAAAATTACAAACACAAAAATAAGGATACATATGTTGGCAGTTTCTAATTCAGGAAATTCAATGAAGATTTCAGAGATGCTAAAAAATTTATAAAAAAAACATATTTTCTTGTCCCATGTGCCATATACCCAATATTTATCCACCTACGTATATTTCATTCTGCCAATATTGAAATTTGAGATACGTGAGCATGTGAAGTAGCAGCAGCAGAAGCAGCCATGCCATGTAGCAAGACTATAATTACGTTGATCGTTGAACCGTAACATTGTTGACCACTCACTCGAAATGTCCCATATGAGTTTTTATAAATTTTTTGTATCTACCTATATGCGTACTAACGAAAAAAAAAAAAAAAAAAAAAAAAAAAAAAAAAAAAAAAATATGCTTACACATGTGATAAGTGGTTTCGTTTTCGTCGCGCACATTGTATAAATAAATATATTGATGCACACGTGCACTTTATGGAAAAAAATAAAGGGAGCGACGGAAAAAGGTGTCGTAACTATCGGAAAAATCTCCTTCTGTTGGCACAGGAGGATCCACATATAGGCTTTAGGGTCACATAGTGGTATAGTTTGTAGACAAACCGGGGGATGGTGAAAAATTAAGGTGGAAGCGCCGAGTTGCCGATAAGTAAGTTTGTGGCAAACAACGTTGATAAATATAAAAAAATATATCATATGTCTCGGATTTTTGGTAGTGATGTTTCGAAAGATTTCGGAATCAAGACTCGATTGAAAAGGCGAATCTCGTTCCTATTCATTAAATATACATATTAATATTATCTCTAGCTTGTCCAGAATGGAGCATGACTTGAGGCCAGGAAAAAAAAAAAGCCCGCATTCGTATTAATAATACTCGAAGTAAATATTATCAGCATCGCGTTTCGCAGCATCATCATCGGTGTATGAATAATAATAACAATAATGATAACATTAAATACTCTACACGTACGTCTAACACATGTGCTCGTTTGCATCGTTTCAACCACATTTTTGCACCTGCGCATATTATTTTTCGATTATTTTTGGATCTAATGTACGTAAAAGTCGAATGATCTGACGCTTCCATTGAGTTTTCACATCTTAGATTAAAGTCAAAGTCCAGACTCCGAACTTGCATGAAATATATTACTCGTGATGATGATTTCGGACGACGGAACAAGTCAAAATGATTCCAGTGCGTTTTTGTACTTAGAGCGACAGGCGATTGTTTCGATACTAGTTAACGAAATTTTTGAAAAGTTGAGGATCGAGAAAGGGATGGAGGAAGGACTGAGATCTGACGAGGCAAGAAATACACTAATCCAGCGGAGCTAGTACGGTGGCATTGAGAACTGCGTGTAATATTTTGTTTTCGTTGGGTACCCTCACGATTGAGATTTCACGTTACTCGTCTCGTTAGCTGCCCAAGTACGTGTTGTAGTCCCGCTCGGTATCCCATTTGTCTCGTTCATTTTCATTTTTCTTTTTCTCTTCTTCTTGTTCACTTGTAATTTTAGTACTACTGAATCATCCATGACAATCAAGTATAAATGTAACCACGAATACTTGTCAATTCGAAACGATGAGTTGCGATGTCGATGAACGATGGCATAGCTTATAATAATTATAATAATGTAATATGCATCGAGAGTTGTGATATATAGAATAAATTCTTATGTGCCAAATAGCGTTTTTCTCTTGTATCGACAAACGAATTGAGGCGCGTGTCGTCTTGCGGTTTTTTAATCTTTGAAATCATAAACATTGACGTATTGTGTATATTTCTTCTTTCGTAGCTCCAAGCGCACGCTTATGCTTACCTGTCCTTGCTCTCGTCTCTTTGAATTTTAAATGCAAACGAAAGCTCAGAGCCTCGAATCGCTTTCTCGTCCTCACTCGGTGGTTAACTTTGCATCTTCCCCTTAATTTACGCGTAACCAGTGCAATTTTAGAGTAGACAAGGTATATAGTGCTAGGATAATTTTCACAAAGAGAGCCAGTATCCTCGACTCGGGAGTTTAACTGAGATGTAGCTCGCTCTGCTCTGCTCACTCGTATAGAATAATACGTGCGAGATGTAAAATACAGATAATCAAAGTGCGAACGCGAAAGGGAGAATGGGAGGGCAAAAAAATAAAAATAAAAAGTATAATGGTAACAATATACTTACGTACGCGCCACCAGCGTCGAGAGTGGCGAGCGAAATAAATCATAAAAACGTAGCTTAAATGTTGATAATGATAGTAATGATAATTATTTATTTTATGTACATAATGAATATTTGTACGGCCGACATCCGAGAGAGAGAGAGAGAGAGAGAGAAAAAGAGAAAGAGATAGAAATGGTGCGTATTGCGAGCGAAAGAGAAAAGTGACAGCGCTCCGGCGTAGCAAGCGCGTCAATATTATTATTATTACTACGAGTATATAAATATACATACATTACATGAATGATAATTAATGTACAGTGTAACTATATTAATTGTGATGTACCTATGCGTAGTAGCTCTATGTGTAATATTACTTCGAGAATAACAAAACATTATAAACTCCATACATACACGTATGTATAAAATATATTATAAATATATATACGAGTTATCGTTATACTGCGAGACGAGTGATTTTAGTGCTTGTATCGTCATTATTACAATTATTACTATTATTGCAATTATTATTATTATTACTATTATTATCATTGATATGACACTTTTATTATTATTATTATTATTATTATTATTTACATTTTTATTGGTTCTTTATAAATTATTTACTATTTTCATCATCGTATTATTGTGAAAATTGATTATTACAATAATTACAACTATACCGATTGTTGTCGACTAGTGAGTCGATGTGCATCTCTTTTAATTATGAAATATAAGCGTTCAAATGTTAATTTTTAACTATCCTTAGCGATATTAAACTAAACAATACGGTTGTATGTGCCAGTTTTGTTGTGAGCAAGGGGTTGACACAATTTGCTGCTCGAATTATTAATACCCGATTATTGTACCATAACGTTATCTTTTTTTTTTGTCTTACTCAAATGAAATTATTGGGTGTCATTCGATATTGTTTAATTTATGTTTTAAGAATTATGAAGTTTTAACTTGTCGAAACTCGACAGCCTCTGTAATCGAAACCGGTGTTTTTTGCATTGCGCTCAAGTGTTGAAAGTGCAAAATTACGTTTTTATTGAATTTGTAATTTATAAAATTAGTTTAATACGATCGAAAAATGAAAAAAAAATCATTGTTTTATAATTTTTAAATTAAATAAATCAAATGCATCACTCGTAAAGACCAAGTTTTGAATATTTTATAGTTTATAATCCATTTTTTTTTTTATGCAGAAAATTGTTAATTGTTTCATATGACCATGGTTTTGAGGAAAAAAATAGTATTCTGACGAGTCAGCCCATTGGTTTATTCCACGTTTTGCATTCGATGTTTTCCATAGTTTTGACTAATTGTATGAATGTTAGGAACAGTTATTATTGAATCCGGCCAGACTTTTACAGCCAGTCTCGATTTCCAAAGACCAGTCATGTCGCAAGGGTATTAGTAAAGTTATTTTTTATCAATAACTGTATGTATTTTTGTTATTATATATTTAGGTCGAGAAAATCACCAGTTCAGTTGTAATTGTCAATTCGTTTTGAAAAAAAGGTTTGAATTAAATTATATTGTTGACAACTTGTGAAGAATTTTTTTACGTTGTAAACTTGCCAGAGTAACAGAATAAAGTAATTTACAAAAGAGCATTCGATCTCTTGTCAAACCATTTCTTCAAATCAATACTTTTGCATACAATTGTTACATATTCGTTGACATGAATGAAAGTAAGTGGAAAACAAACGACGCAACACACAATTAGCGAAGGACACTTAAGTACCAATAGAGCATTTTCTTTTTAAAAATTTAAAAAAAATTAAAAAAAAAAACATATTTTCTTGTCCCATGTGCCATATACCCAATATTTATCCACCTACGTATATTTCATTCTGCCAATATTGAAATTTGAGATACGTGAGCATGTGAAGTAGCAGCAGCAGAAGCAGCCATGCCATGTAGCAAGACTATAATTACGTTGATCGTTGAACCGTAACATTGTTGACCACTCACTCGAAATGTCCCATATGAGTTTTTATAAATTTTTTGTATCTACCTATATGCGTACTAACAAAAAAAAAAAAAAAAAAAAAAAAAAAAAATCAGACAGAGTAAATTTTAAATTACTCACCAGTCAGCACTTCTCATCTGTAGTTAGATTTATCAATTGATCATCAACGAAGCGTCCGGCTCTAATTGCAAAAGCTCAAAGTTGTGTAAAATAATAAACGAAAGCATTGCGTAAAGCGAGAGAAAGACGCCGAGAAAGCAAAAGTAATTATTCCATTGTACATTAAATTCACGCTATCAATATATCTGTATGTAACGATACGACTGCATAAATAGGTACACGTTATATCTAAACAATAACAATGAAAAATGTTATACAAAAAAAAAAAGTGGTGGGAAAAACGAAAGTACACACGACGACGCGGACACAAACTAACGTGCACTTCCCTAAGGTATTACAAGAATTTAACTACTTCATTTATATGTACGTTGTTGTTATGTATGACTCAAAGAAAAGTTAAAAAAACAACTTGATAAAAGCATGTAGTACAGTAATATCGCTTTTCCGAGGAAAAAAAAAAAAAAAAAAAAAATTCAAGACACATAGTTTTTAAGTAAAAACGTCAACTCTGGGGGACGCTGCACGCGGGCATATTTATACATAAATAAATAAAAAAAAGCAGGAAAAAAAAGATAAATCATACAAAAACGTGTAAATATGGTTGTGCAGAGATGTGCGAATGCGTGATGGGCGATGAGTGATATGTAACTAAAAGATAAAAATTTTAATATAAAGATAGACAAAACGAACGAGACGTCGAGGCCATTGGCAACAGTCGCATTGGACACCTTAACACTTGTACCGATGATATTATAATATATCCTACGCTCTTTGTACTTTTAAATAAATTTTCTCTGTAGTGTTTTAAAGATGGTCTTGCATGGGACTGAAGTTGCATTGATCGGAAGATAAAGAAAAAGAAAAGAAAAAATTTGTAATCAATCTTGAGGCAGACGAACATTGTCCTGCCCGCAATGGTGCTTATATTCACACTTTTCAACGGCGATCCGGAAAATCCGTCAAGTTTCGAACTTGTGCGTCTGGTGTTTTGTTGTTGGAAAAAAAAAAGAAAAAGTATATGAATAAACAAAAAAAAAGCATGAGAGTGTTACGTCGAGGGTGTTAGGGATCTCTGTTCTACCTGTTTTTCTTTTCGTTGTTCAAGTGTTAAGGTGAGCCGCCCAGTGGATATACATATGAGGGAAAAAAAGTTTAGCTTGTACGTGTCGTAAAAGTGACACCTGGGAAACGATTATCCAGTTTTCGACGATTTCATCATCGATATATATACCTGCGAAATGTTGTGCCGGGGATATAAACAAATTAGCGTAAATACGATCAATTGAAAAACAAATTAATCCGCTTGCAAACACGTAACTTTATTCTGTACACTTATTATCGAGTAGATATAATATTACATATATACGGATGAGGAAAACCACGTACATGGATGATTTCTTGTGATCCCAGGTGTGACTTTTCATCAAATATATATAAATAGCGACATCGATACGAAACGTATACTGTATCGCATAGAGAACAGCACTATTATGAATATATATATATAAAATTATATTTATTAAATTAATTTAAAAATTAGGTACTCNAAATATCAAATATATTGTTTTTTACGTTATGAATTTTATCCTTGCGTCCTTATTACCGATTTTCATCAAACGTTGCACCTAATACGCTCGATCCAATATTTTATTAACTCGATGAATATTGTAAGATGATCATTAATGGAAAAAAAATATAATCAATTTTTCAGTCATTTCATAAATCAAAGTTTTTCATTTTTAATTGTGGGGAAAACACGCATTTTTCTAAAATACTTATCCACGCATTAGTATCATAATTTATCAATTATTTAAGAATATTGAAAGCTTTTAATACATTTTTTAAAACACCATTTGTTAGGATACCACTTCTGTACATATATTTTAAAACAACTTGGAGTTTGTAACAACAAAATTTTTCAAATTCCTCAAATAAAAAATAATTGAACTAAATTTACTTAACCCTGCGTGCAAAGGGTCAATTCATTTAATTACGCAAAAAATCTCTGCTTTTAATAAAGCAAAGGAAGGAGCAGCGCAAGGGATTCGAAAAAAAAAAAAAATTCAAATTAACCGTTGGATAGAGAGGAGCGCTGGTGTCGCCGGTACAGTAGCCAAGCTCAGCGCGCTGCACATTCGAACGAGTCAAAAAGTCGTCCGGTCGCGAGCAGGACCCTCTTTTTCTCGCAAATTTTTGCTCCAGCAAAAGTCGCAGTGCAAACACCACTTCCTTAGAGAGTAGGTACAGTTGACAGGTAAATCCATAACCACCACAGGTAACCAAAGCTCCGAAATGGCCAACGTCTCTCGCCAGCCCATCTGCACCTTGGAGCCGAAGATGCAGAACACGATCGTCATCGGCGTCATCATCCGGAGCCAAAACTCCAAGATCATCGAATTGGCTCGCGATAGATGTGAGTCCCTTTCTTATTAGCCCGATAGTTTTTCTCACCTACTTTCTTGGCTTGCTCATGTTGACTGTGCAGTTTTTTTCTATGGAAATTGTATACATGTATCTATAAAACATACATTCGTCCGTTCAACTGAATCATGCGCTTATGTCTTCCCCTTTTTGTTTGGGTGAAAAATTACACGCACATGAATTTTCCAGTCAACGCTGGCACCAGAGCAGTGTGGAACTTTACTCTGAGGGACTCGTTCAACGACTTCATCAATGCGACCGTGTGGGGTACCGTTGAGTACGTCAACAAGCTATTCACCACCTTCACAATTGGCAGCGTCGGTGAGTCTTTTTTTCGAAGAATCGTGAATTTGCATTTGATGAGAATTTTGAGAGCAGAGGGAAAATTAGTTACTCAAACCATGGTTTGTAAATGGAACGTTCTTATCTGTCCTGCTGTTGGTAACGTCCACTTTGTGCGTTCTCTCCCTCCTGGCTCTATTACGTATTATGTGTTCTTTGAACTCTACAAAAAACTATCGAAGAAAAGTTTCTTTATTTTAAATATCTATAGATAAAACGTTATGGTAAATAAAATTTTTTTAAAACTGTACTTGTTTCAGTTGAAGTGATCAATGCTAAAGTAACAGAACGAAAGATAAACGATCCCAACGAGGTGTACGTGCCGTCGGTGACCAGCCCCTTTACACTGACTTTAAACCAGCATTCATCCTTGATACAAATGCACAACAGCCCGAACACCGCGCGATACTTAAAATTTCTTAACATGCCTACCAAGGATCCCGGAGGTGCCACCAATTTGAATCACATCTTAAATAACTCTGAAACTCTCAAAAATGAGTATGTCGATGTGCTTGTTGCAGTTACTTTTGTTAGTATTTTTTTTTTGTTTCCAATGTACATCACGGACGTAACGTTACGTGTCGACAAGTTGTAAGAAAAACTATTTTGTCCTCTATAAAAATAGGTGAGCCAGACGCGTGAAATCGTCACTCGAATGGGGGAAATGACGAAAATTCGTGAGTTTGAAGTCGGCGATGATACTACGGACCAGACGGTGTCGTTGACGCTCTGGGAAAGCGAGTGGATCAGACTGGCTGACAAGTGGGAACCAAAACAGACAATTTTATTCTTGGCTGATGTTCAAGTTGTCTTCAACGAGAAGGCCAAAAAGTCCATATTGACTATAGGTGGGTAACTTTCTAATTGATTAACTTTCCGAAATCTAGGTGTATTTATTTTTGACGAAGGCCCGATTAAAACTCATGACAGTAATTCAAATTAAAACTGTAATAAATTCAAAGTTGATATTTTAATTTTAAACAAGCCAAAAGTAAATTTTTTCTTTGTCATCTTTTTTAAGTAAGAAAAACAATCATAACGGAAAATCCAATGCTGAAAGAGACCGAAGAACTCCGATTTCAATTTCAAAGAAAACCAGATATTAGATCTACATCTTTGTATGCAGTACCTAACCGTAATTTTTTTTTACCTATCATGATTTTTTAAAATTTTGTTAAATAATTAAATAACAAGACTTTTTAATTGTTTCAGCAAATTCTATAACGAAACAAATGATGATAATTGAAATAACGAGTAGATTAAACAACGCATCAGTCTTGCCTTCAAATGATAGGATGCAATTGTTAGTAGTTGTCAGGGCTATGGTGGACGACATGAATCTCGATTGTGACGATCCAACTTTGATCAGTTATCGATGGTACTCATTTATTATGCATTTTATATATTTTTAGAACAATAATATAAAAAAATATCATACTCTCTGTATTTTCAGTGCAAAATGTAAAAGGCTAGTTTCAGATGAAAAAGAGTCCTGTATGAATCTGGAATGTCCGTTTGGAAGTGGGATAAAATCTCCAATAAATATAACTAGCATAAATGTTTTGGTCAATCTTAAAGATGACACTGGTTATTTAGTCGGATGTCGCTTGAGGGATGCAGCCGCAGAAGAAGCATTCTCCTGCAGTGCTGATATTATGAGGGTAATCTTTTTTTTACTATTATTTATTTATTTTTTTTTTTTTTTTTTTTTATTTTTTTTTCATTTTCATATCTTACAAGAGCGAATTTAAAATAGTTTCTTCGACGTATACAACGTGATTGAAATGTGCTACGGCATTGACTTTTATTGAC